AAATTGGGATATTTTGATTTGCTAAACATTTCACATTTGTTATGATGCTTTAAAAAGAGAGTGTTGTCTTAGAGCTTACTCAATACACAAGCAATTGCTAAATATTCAGTATTTCTGTGAGCCAGTTGTTCAACTCTTGGTAACTTGAAATCAGTCATGGTAAGAATATTTACACTACTGAAGTAGGCAAATATTATAAATAGGGCTTTTTTAAAAAATTCTTTTGTCTCGTTTTTGAAGAGCTGATTGGATAATGGCCCAAATATAAAAAAAATTTTAAATACTGAATTCATAAATCTATTATAGGAATTGGAGGTTTTAATTTTATTCTAATGTTCAACATTATTTGACTAAGCAAATATTAAGCTCATAAATAATGACACTAAGTGCTATGTTCCTCTGAGTGTATGGCATTTAAACACAAATGGGCTGTCACATTATAGAATACATATATTCTGTGCATATTCACTCAGTCACAGTGGTCGGCATCCCATTACTTTCCTTCCCAAGAACCTGAAAACAGCAAACGTAGCACATTAACTACAAGTAAAATCTTAAGCACAGAGAGAGGAAGAAATGGAAATTACTATATGGAGTTTTTCTTCCTGTTATTACTCAATGCCTCGTCTAGTAAGGTATAAAAGTGAACTATGTGCTATGTTTCCAAGATAGTACATATGGTTCATTTGTTTACATAAAAGTTTTATCAAGATTATATAATTATTCAGTTTATTATTTTCCTCTCCCCATTAAATTTTAATCCTTGACAAATACCTGATATGTAACAGTAACTCAGTAAAAGGAAAAAAAAGCTATGGAAGGACTAATAAACTTTCTAAACGAAACATCAGTGGCTTTTTCTGATTCACTTAGTTGTCAACATAAGAGCTTGTTAACAAATGCCATGTTGGCTTGCCAAGACTAGTTAATGTGGCTTATAGATTAGACTAACCAATTTTTAGATGAGAGTATATCTACATTGTAAATATAAATTCTACCTACGGATATAGAAAACATAATCCATTTTTTGCAGAAAAGAAAATTAAAGCACAAAATTATTAAAATAGTTGTACCCACACTCTGATTAGAAATCCTGCATACTAGAAATAAGTATGGTTTATATAGCCAGTCATTCACTAACATGTTATCTTCTGTGAGTCTTACAATTCTAATATTCAAAGTTCATGATGCATGCCTGGTTTCCAATGGAAAATGTGATCAGAGTTTCATGATTTTCAGTGACAAGAAATAACACAGGCCTCAGTTCCAATAAAACTTTACTTAAGCATCAACTTAACACAAACCACAGTAAATAAGAATGACAGGCTTTTAAAGGACTCTGGAAACTTACTTCAGTATCAAGCTTGTTGTGTTTTTTTTAATGCAGAGACTTTTAAAATCTTATTTTAAAAAGGAAAGTTTTATCTGAAAATAAAAGAAAAAACATGCCAGATGCCTATGGTTCACGCCAGTAATCTTAGCTACATGGGAAGCTGAGTTCAGGAGGACCCAGTTCAAGTCCAGCCCAGGAAAATAGTTCACACAAGGCCCCCATCTCCACAATAACCAGAGCAAAATGGATTGGAGGTGTGAAGTGGTAAGACCTCCTGCTTTGCAACACAAAGTCCTGAGTTCAAGCCCCAGTCCCATGAAGTAAAAGCAAACAAAACTTTGCAAACAAGTAAAATTTAAATGTATAAATAAATTTGATAGCTCTTCTGTGAATTGTCACAAATTTTAATATGATTAAGCATATAGATTTTTGTAATTTGGGCTAGCATTTCACCATAATTTTTTTTTGCAGCTGTGTTTTAAATTCATTATGTTTATTATACAACAAAGAGTGTTTTGTGAGTCAGGCCATTATGACTTTCTCTAACTTATAGTAGATCTGTCAGAAAGAAACCAAATTTCATAGTTATAACATTTCTTTCTAAATATTAGATGCCAATTTTTTTGATCATGCATATTTGGGAAGAACAGTTTACTTCTAAAAACAATGATCAATGCTAATATAAATATTTTTATGCCAAACTGCTAAGATAAAATAATTTTATAAGTGCAAATAGAGAAAATGTATTTTGTTTGAATAGTTCCTATCTCCCCCAAATTTATTTTAAGGTGAATTCACAACACATAGGTTTGCCCAATCCCTATGGAATTATAATAGATTAGAGTTTGAAACTATGCTTCACCAAGAAGCTCAGTGAAACAAATTCTGTTGAAACACAGATGAAAGTGTGAAATACATATCCTTGTAATTATCATTTGTCTGGTATTATGTTGATAACTTCTTAAAGAATGTGAAGCTTTAACATAGAAAGTTTTTATTATGGTATTGCCTGTGAGTCATTATTTTGAAAGCAAATAATGTTACTATTATAAAATAGCATTTTACAAAACAAAACTTGAGAACTTTTTATTAAAAGCCTTTTGCTAGTCACTGAAATTAAGTTTTGTTTTGTTTTTCTTTTGAGATGAGCATCTCACTGTGTTGCCCACAATAAAGTCAACTCTTTTCTATAATTTTTTTCACTTTGCTATCATCCTTCAATGGAAATGTAATTTTGATAGATTTATCAAGAAATTTTATCAAAAGATCTTTAAATTTAATATATCCCTTTTAACTTATTCAAAAATATATGAAAGTACATATAAGCATTGTGGGGGAGAGGGAGGGAGTGAGGGGGTAAGGGAGGGAGTAGGGAGAAGTGGGGAGAAATGACCCAAACATTGTATGCACAAACAAATAAAAGAAAAAAGAAAGTACATGTAATTAGTCCCCAACCTAAACTAGTTTCCATATTTGGCAGGACTTATATTAGCATGTGAGCTAATGTCAACTTTTAAAAAGCAATGAAATGTCATATTTGTGATGATTCAGACTTTCTTTTTAAAAATGGTTTCATATGAAATAGACTAACAAGCAATAAACAAAATTATAGCTACAGTTTTTTAATAAGTTAACAGTGAAACAATATTTGGAACATAAGCATTACCACCAATGACAAAATTATAGTCATGAGCCCCATTCCCTCTTGGTCCCAAATTTTTCACAAAGCTAACAAATTTTCCAAGCATTCAACAGAAATATAGCTAATTCAGTTTGAATAATGGTCCTTATGAAAACTAATCAAATGTAGTTTTGAAAAGCCATAAATATGCCTATATTAAGAATATTCTCCCATTATTTCAAAGCATGTGTGACAATACTATTACTTTGAAGCATATTTTTGCTTACAAATAAAATTTCCTTATTTGTGTGTGAGGTCAAATTTTCTTAGTAGCCACCCAGTTTAAAAATCATAGAAAACTTATTCCATCTTTTAATTAGTGTTCATGGGTAATTTTTTCTCAAACATAACTCTATTTCCCAGTTCACACTCTGAGCAAATTTGCAACCAACTAACCTATAACAAGCACAATCTTTACAGGAAGCATACTTCCTCTTGACCACTGCAGTATATACAGAGTTTTATAAAAAATGATCACTTTTCTTTTCCTGTCCTGTAAAGGTTAAGTTTAAAATTTTTTTCATGTTTTACAAGTCCCACCCCAAACTAGAAACTAATTTTAAAATGGCACAAAAATGTCCAGAATGTTACTTTTCCTCTGCTTTCACTTCTTCTATCCCCATGTTTTATCTATTACAATCATATCAGTATTGTAAGGCTTAGTTCAAATCCATTAACTGTAATGCATTTTCTGATCTATGTCTGATCTCTTCTCCAAGGTAGGTATGATTTTTCCCTCTTACTTAGTGGTTGTCTTATCCATCACAGTATGTCTTTCCTTTTCTATTTTTTTGGTCATACTGAGGTTTGAACTCAGTACCTTCTGCTTGCTACCACTTGAGACATTACCTCATTCCTTTTTGTTTTAGATTATTTTTCAGATAGGATCTAATGCTTTTGCTTAGGGCTGGTCTGAAATCATGATCTTATTTCCTACATAACTGGAATTACAGGTTTGTGTCACCATGCCTAGCCAACATTATCTCTTTTTTGTACAAGTTAAATAAGTACTTGTTTATTTCAGATATAGTTTGTGTGCTCTTAGAAGTTAGAGTATGTCTTATTTATCAGTCTCCCATATTGTTCAATATGATAAAATGCATATAACAATGGCATATGTCAAATAAATTAAGGAGAAAAGTAGCAAGTATACTATTATGATCCTATGTATGTTATCACTTTACCACAAGAAAAAATATATGAAAACTTAGTTCATAAGATATTTGGAAAGACAGCAAGACCATGTGCCAAAATAAAAGAAACAGATGGAGTAATTATAACATACTCTTTGTGTTTCATTACCCAATGGCCATAAACTTTTAAAAAATTGTATCCTAATGATGATAATGATAATTTGATAAATTATCATAAATTTGTGCTTAATGTTTCACAGATTTTTGCACATATTTTACTTACATCTTCTCCAGACAGCCAATGAAATAAGCAGGATAGATTATTACTATGGCCTTCATTTTACAGTTGAAGAGACATATTTAGGTGGGTTAAGTGTGTTTTATGATGTCATCCAGCCAATCAATGGCAAATTAGAATTGAGACCCAACTCTGTCCGAAAATAAGTCCTGTATTGTATACAATATCTTACATCTGCTTAAAAGACTCCAAAAAGATGCATAGCATTTACTTTGTTTCACCCCAAAAATGAGAATGGGTTTTGAACACTCTTCTATTCTGTCATTAGCCTGCCTGGCTATGTCTCTCGTAACATTGTCCACATGATTTCAAGATTGGAATCCAGAATAAAAGTAGTACATGTGGCAAAGAATGAAAACAAACAAACAAAAAACAACAACCAAATAAAAACAAAACCTTGCATGCCTACTAAGATACCAAAGTCAACAATTCTGTATAATAGTCAACTGAGTCAATAAGCTGCATGTTACTACTGAAGATACAGTGATACTGCTGATATTTTAGAAAAGTTTATATGCAATTAAACTTTGTCCTCTTCAAAATAATGATTCTTACCTTTATAACAGAGGCACCAGCTCTGGAGAGTGGACTGTGAATCTGGGCTGCAGCAGCCATGTTGGCAATGGTATTGAGATGGTTCATCTGATTCATTGCCATGGCAACTGATGCAGGAGGTAAACTGACTGGAAGTAGGGGATGAGGCATCATCATAAATGGCAGATCCAGTCCTAAGAGAGATAGTGCATGTTGAACTTGTTATGAAATGATTCTAGGAAGTTGGCTTTTTAAAAACAATCTAGGAGGATTCAAGATGGCAACTAAAGTGCAGAAGTAGCGTAAGTGCCATAAATCAAAAATTTTGCTGAGAAGCTAGAGCCACACATGGCAGAAGAAAAGCACCAAGAAGAATCAAAACTTTGACACCCTGACTCCCCAGCCCATACAAAGCTTCTCCATGCCACATTACAGTGAGAAAACAGAAGGGCTTCTGCGCCCCCAGACACTGGCTCCAAACCTGCTTGGGAGACATTCAGAAGACCAACTGGTGAGCAAATAAGTGGCACACAGTATTCCCACAGCCACCCCTGGGATAAACCAGAAGAGGCAACTGAACAGACTGACCCACCACCCTGCAAAAAAAAAAAACTGAATAATAAACAAGGAACTGAAAAGGAATATGCAGCAGAGTGGGTGGGGTGCTCTGAGTGCACTGCACAAGGTAGGAGGATCAAGAAGCTGATCACTGTGAGAACTTTCAGTAAACAAAGTTTGGAAAGGAAGAAAGGCAGACAGTGGGTGGGTGATAAGCTACTGCCTGAAATAGGGCAGATAGTGGATGACAAAGCTCATCTGAGCCAGTGAGCAACATTGAAAGTCAAACAACATTGCAAAATTGAAAAATAATCAGCAAACCAGCACAACATAATGACAGCAGCTGACAGATCTCTGAACTTGCCCCAGAGAAAGGGGGCAAGGCAAAGAAAGAAGCCCCCAACAAACGAACAGAGCAAAAACCCAACTCCAAAGCAAGACAGCTATTGGACCACAGAGCTGATCTCCAGAACCTGAGGGCAAGCCACACCTCACTAAGGGCGAAGCTTACTAAGCAGCTGCCGCTGAAAGACAGGAAAAAAAAAACAGTGAGTCTCCCCAACCACCTGGCAAGACTAAGACAGAGTTTCTGCTTAAGTACCAAAACTAGGACTGGATGCTAAAGGAGTAACACCAGAACTACTAAGAATGAAATTCTACTGTTCCTGAACCTGAGATTTTTTATGTGTTTGTTTTGTCCCCTGTTTGTTTGTCCAACACCTCTCCCTGTTGATTTCTTTGGTTTTCCTTTTTTTCCCCCTCTTTCTTTCTTTGTTTTGTTAGGTTTACTATAGCAAGTTAGCTAATATGAAATTACACACAGAGGAGGGACAGAAATAGCATACATTCACTAACTTAAAAACAAACACACCCAGAAAAAAAAATTAAACCAAAAGAAAGTGAACAGGTGACTGAAACCACCAATAGCCTAACATGAACATAGTTACATAGTACCAAGTGGAATGATGGGAAGATGAAAAAGGGATGGAAATGACTCTCCCCTTGAAAATAAATTAATGCACGATTCAGAGGGAAATGAAGAAAATGAATACCCAGTTCCAGACTCCAACGAAACAAAGATAAACTATGCCAAGGAACCCAACTAAGTCCACAAAAAAAATCTGAAAGAAGAAATCCTGCAAGTAATCACTGAGAATTTCATGGAGATGTTATTAGACATGGTCAACCAAAATGTACAAGAGGAACTCAAGAAATTCCAAGACAACAAAAACAAAGAATATAAGAAGACACAAAAACAAATAAATGAACTCATAGAAGCTCTAAATAAACACCAAAGTGAAACAGAGAACACCATAAATAGAGAGATAAATGAAATAAGGACAAAAATTGACAATATTAAAGAGGCATGATATGGAAAACCTCAGAAAAAAGAATGAAGCAGAAATACAAAACATGATGAAAGGCACTCCAGCAGACTAGAACAAGCAAAAGACAGAATCTCAAAACTTAAATGAATTGGAAATTAAAGGAAAAACTAATGAATATTAGTCAAACAACACAAGACCTGTGAAAGGAATATACAAGAACTCACCGACTGCATCAACAGACCAAACCTGAAAATCATGGGCATTGAAGAAGGAGAAGAGGTGCAAGCAAAAGGAATTCATAATATATTTAACAAAATAATAACAGAAAATTTCCCAAATCCAGAGAAAACGGTGCCCATTCGGGAACAAGAATCATCCAGGAAACCAAATAGACTTGACCAAAATAGAACTATCCCATGACATATTATCATTAAAACAACAAGCACAGAGAATAGAGAAAGAATACTGAAGGCTATAAGAGAAAAAAATCAAATAAAATACAAAGGTAAACCCATCAAAATCACAGCAGATTTCTCAACGGAAACCTTAAAAGCAAGAAGAGCATGGAGTGAGGTATTCTGGGCACTGAATGAAAATAATTTCAACCCTAGGATACTACAGTAGCAAAAATATCATTCAAAATACATGGAGCAATAAAAGTCTTCCATGATAAGCAGAAACTAAAACAATATATGACCACCAAGCCAGCACTACAAAAGATTCTTCAAGGAATTCTGCACACAGAAGATTAAATCAAACAAAACCATTAAAAGACAGGGAGTTCCAAACCACAGGAGAAGAAAAGGCAAGAAAATAGAGAGTAACATTGATTCAGCTACAGATAATCAAACCCTTAAACAACAAAAACAACTAAATGGCAGGAATCAACACATACCTATCAATACTAACACTGAAGTTAATGGACCTTAACTCCCCCATCAAAAGACACTGTTTGGCATACTTGATTAAAAAGGAAGATCCAACAATCTGTTGCTTACAGGAGACCCATCTCATCAACAGAAACAAGCACTGGCTTAGGGTGAAAGACTGGAAGAAGATATACCAAGCCAATGGTCCCCGAAAACAGGCAGGAGTAGCAATATTTATCTTGGACAAAGTAGATGTCAAACCTACATTACAAACAAGATAAAGAAGGACACTCCATACTAATAAAAGGGGAAATACAACAAAAGGAAATAACAATTATCAACCTATACACACCCAACATTAATGCACACAATTTCATTAAACATTCTCTGAAGGACCTAAAATCATATGTAGACTCCAACACATTGGTAGTGGGAGACTTTAATAACCCCTATCACCAATAGATAGGTTATCCAAACAAAAAAATCAATAAAGAAATTGTAGAACTAAATCACACCATAGATCAAATGGACTTAGCTGATGTCTACAGAATATTTCATCCAACTTCTGCACAATACACAGTCTTCTCAGCAGCCCATGGAACCTTCTCCAAAACTGATCATATCTTAGGGCACAAAGCAAACCTCAGCAAATATAAGAAAATAGAAATAATCCCATGCACTAATCTATCTAATCACACTGCATTAAAATTAGCACTCAACAACAAAAAAAACAATAAAAAACATGCGAACAATTGGAAGCTGAACAACAAATTGGTCAATGATCAGTGGGTCATTGGTGAAATAAAAGAGGAAATTAAAAGGTTCCTGGAAGTTAATGAAAATGAAAACAGGACCTACAGGAACATATGGAACACAGCAAAGGCAGTCCTAAGACTGCCCTTTTTATAGCAATGAGTGCATATATTAAAAGGACAGAAAGATCTCAAATCAATGACCTAATGCTACATCTCAAGCTCTTAGAAAAACAAGAACAAGCAAAACCCAAAACAAGCAGAAAGAGAGCAATAATAAAAATAAGGGCTGAAATTAATGAAATAGAAACCAAAAGAAAACATACAAAGAATCAGTGAAACAAAGGCTGGTTCTTTGAAAAAATAAATAAGATTGATAGACCCCTGGCAAACCCGACTAAAATGAGGAGAGAAAAAACTCAAATCATTAAAATCAGAAATGCAACACAGGAGAAAACAACAAATACCACAGAAATCCAGGAAATCATCAGAGACTACTTTCAGAACCTATATTCTAATAAATCTGAAAATCTTGAAGAAATGGACAGATTTCTAGATACTTATGACCATTCAATATTAAACCAAGAGGATATTAATCACCTGAATAGATCTATAACACAAAATGAAATTGAAGCAACAATAGAGTCTCCCAAAAAAGAAAAGTCCAGGACTTGATGGATTCTCTGCTGAATTCTATCAGACCTTTAAAGAAGAAGTAATACCAACTCTCCTTAAACTTTTCCACAAAATAGAAAGGGAAGGAACATTACCTAACCCATTTGATGAAGCCAGTATTACACTTATCCCAAAACCAGGCAAAGGCATCTCCAAAAAGGAGAACTATAGGCCAATCTCCTTAATGAACATTGATGCAAAAATCCTCAATAAAATAATGGCAAACCAAATTCAACAACACATCAAAAAGATCATTCACCATAACCAAGTAGGCTTCATCCCAGGAATGCAGGGGTGGTTCAACATATGAAATTCAATAAACGTAATAAAACCACATTAACAGAAGCAAAGACAAAAACCACTTGATCATTTCAATAGATGCAAAAAAAGCCTTCAACAAGATCCAACACCACTTTATGACAAAAGCTCTAAGAAAACTAGAAATAGAAGGAATGTACCTCAACATTGTAAAGGCTACATATGACAAACCTACAGCCAACATAACACTTAATGGAGAAAAACTGAAACCATTTCCCCAAAAATCAGGAATGAGACAAGGATGCCCACTATTCCCACTCCTCTTCAACATAATCCTGGAATTTCTAGCCAGAACAATTAGGCAAGAAGAAGAAATAAAATGAATATAAATAGAAAGAAACTGTCAAAATATCCCTACTTGCAGATGACATGATCCTATACCTTAAACACCCAAAAAATCTACCCAAAAACTCCTAGACACCATAAGAAGCTATAGAAAGGTGTCAGGATACAAAATCAACTCACAAAAATCATTAGCATTTTTATATACTAATAATAAACAAATTGGGAAAGAATATATGGAAAGAATTCCATTTACAATAGCCTCAAAAAAAAATCAAACACCTAGGAGTAAACTTAACAAAGGATGTGAATGACCTCTACAAGGAGTACTATAAACCCCTTAAGAAAGAGATAGAGGAAGACTACAGAATATGAAAAATCTCCTGTGCTCATGTATTGGGAGAATCAACAT